ATCTCTTTTGGAGCTGTGAAAAAATCAGGAAAGTCTTTTTCTGTGTAAGCTTAATGCAAAGTCTCAGGAAAAAATTAAAACTCTTTTTGTTCTTAACAATATACATTTTAAGGAGAAAAAGTATAAAAACATATATAGACCTTAACAGTATTTTTGCTTTTATCGTATTTTCATAAGTTGCTATGGCTTATTCTCTTAAACAACCATGAATCAGTTAAGCAAAGCTTGGAAGGAAAAAATTTAATAAAAAAAACCTTTGGGTTGCTGAGGTATTATAAAAGAACATCTCTCCCAATAAATTAAGTATTAAGCCACTATTTTTGACAGGGTCATTTTATTCCTTGATAAACAGGTAACCTTATTACGTGATCAGTTCTTCATTTTTTGTTAAATGTTTTCCTTTTTACCTGGTAAACAGCTGCCCTTATGCTGTCTGCTCTTTCAGGTTCTACATTCTGTTTCTGTGAAGGCTTTTGGTCCAAGACTTTCAAAGTCCCTAAATAGTGAGAAGAGGTAGTTGTCGATGGAGGTCTCCTTATAGAACTAGGTTTCTTTAAAAACTCAGAGGTCATTAACCTGAAAAGATCCAAATAAATCAACATAAAATATTACAGTTGCACTTGGTAGAAGAAAAATTCATTAGAATTTGCAATTACTATATTTTAAATTATATTGTAAATTAATAAATTATAAGTACTTTAAAAGTGATGATAAAAAAGGAAAATGATAGTTTTTCTTAGTCTACGAAGAGCTTCAAACTGATTGCTCTTTCAAGATATTTATAATTAGAACATTTTTAAGAAAAATGGACTACATGTCAAGTTACATGGAAAAAAATAATATTAATAAAGCAGATTTTAAATCTCTTGTATCATTTTGTTACGAAAAACAACTCTAAATATAAAGTTAGAATAACATCCTCTATTTCAGGGGTTGGCAGGAAAATATGGCTCGCGATCTGGTTTTGTGCAGTTTATTTATTTTGTGAGTTTCTGCACCACAGCTGTTCCCGGGCTGCGCCAGCAGAACTGACTAGTTACAACAGTGACTGTACGGCCTACAAAGTCTAATACATGTACTAACTGGCAATTGACAGTTAAAGTTTGCTGACTCTTGTTTTATTTGATTTATGGTAATTTAAAAGACTGAGAAGGTTCTGAGTAGCATTTATGAGTTAGGCATTCATTATCCTCAGTGTGAATGAAGGAATATAGAGTCTTATCATTTCAATAAACCAACTTAGTCCTTAGAACCTCAAGGTTTTACGTACAGTTTCCATGTGTGAGACAAAGGTACTTAATAGAGAAGTATAAAGCTGGACTTCAGCTCTATTACTGTGTATGTACTGTCTGAGGAAAAACAGGAAAGCAACTCTATCCCAGGAAGCATGTAGAGTACAGAGAACCACTAATCAACTCCTTTTCATAAAGGAATATGATCAACTGAGGAGTTTTATCATGAAGTAACGACTTCATTCAATTCATGAGATGGGAATTTAAAGAAAGTCAGGTAATACCAAAGGAAATTCACTTTACAGAAGTTGAATTAAAACTAGCTTTATTGGAACGTACACTCGGATAAGAATAGCTTTATTACCTGCCAGATGCACTGGATGCTCTATTATTTGTTGACTTTTTATTCTTCATATTTCTGTCTTCAATGGTTTTCTATTAAAGAGAAAATACCATAGATGGATTACTCACCATAATTATCACAGTTAGGCTTAGAGGCCAAACTGCCAGGAAATCAATGTTCTTAAAGCATCTACTATGTGTCAAGTACAGCAGCCTCTGGAAACTTGTAAGGATACTACATTTTAGAGAGGGGTGATGGACATGAAACACAAAATCGAAAGTGAGTCACGACGGAGATAAACTAGGGTCCAGTGACAGTGACTAGGGTGAGGGGTTACGTTCATGACAGTGACCAGGGAAGACCTCCCCGAGGTCTTGACAGCAGTGCTAAGACAAAGATGGGAAGAAAGGGGCCACATGAAGGAAGGTCTGTGGAAGGAAAGAAAGAAGCAGTGAGTGCTAAGAGCCTGAGAAGGGAAAGAGCTTGATGCTTTTGAGAAACAGAAAAAGGTGAATGACGCTGAAGCACAGTGAATGGCAGCGAGAGTGGATGAATATGGTCAGAGAAGAATAGCGTGAGGTCCTGAGGATGCGGGAAGGTGTTTGCATTTTATTCTTCTGACGACAATCCAACCAAGAGACTTTAGCAGGGGAGTGATATGATTCAGACTTGAGGAAGGTCCCGCAGGAGGGAGTAAGGATAAAGCCAAGGATTCAATCAAAAGAAATGTTACGATCTTACTTGTTATACAGAAATTGCCTGTTTTTATTTAGAACTGCCTCTATCAGACATTTCTAGGATCCTGTCTATAAGTTCCAGAATACCCTTTTTCTTTTTATGGAGTAACTTCTTTACTTTACACAGACAGACAGGTGCTAGCATTGAAGTGAGACCACAGACGTAAGCACATTACTAACTTGGCATGAGTGACTTTTCCTAAATAAAGTGGTTAGGAACAATATACCTGGAACATGGTTTAATGAACCTTCCCCATAAATTTTAATACAAGGCACTGATATTCTGTATTATACAAGTCCTATTCAACCACAGGTTTTCAACTAGCACTGTTACCTTTCCCAATAGTAAGTATACATAGCCACCAGCTAACTACAGCTATAAGGAATAAAGACTAAATTCAAGAGAAATAAAAACTAAAAATGCTATATCATAAATCTTAAAAATATAGTATTCTGGTACATTATAGCTAGGTAACAAGTAATCCTACACACCGAAACTGTGGTTCTCAAGGGTATAATAATAATAATAATAATGTTTCTGATAATAATCTTGTCCATCCATTTAAACAAGCAAGATGTTGATAAACATTTCTTAAAGAGTTTCCTTAAAGTTTGTAAAATGTTTAAAAATGATATCTAAAGGAGTAACTTCCACTAATTCAAAGCCTCAGAAATTGTTCCAGATAGCTGCATTTTTTAACATGAAGACTTATAGAAACTTACCCACTTAAGAGTTTGTATTTCTGAGATATTTAAGAGTATATTATGATCATATACCTTTGATAATTTTTAAAGAAATACTGACTTATATTCACTGTAAACCTTCCCTGAAGTAAAACTCTACTGATTCTGTTGTCTACCTAACAATATACTATTATCAAAAGATGAGTTTTCCACAGATGATTCAGAAGTACATAATGTGGCAGATAAAATATTTAAAGTCTATTTTGAGTTTTAAGCTGTAGTATAAAAGGTATAATTTCATACAAATACCTTTGAAGATTCAGTTGTGTCAGTAGATATTAAGATACTCTGAGATTTCAATAGTGGTGGATCAACCGTTAAGTCATTCATAATCAGTTCAGCTTTCTCCTTCTCTTCTTCAAGGTCATCAGTAATCACTTGACTTTCCTGGGATTTCTCAATTGGAGTAGTAACAAAGTCTATCAAAAATGAATTCTCTTCATTTTCATTTGATTTCGTGTGGTTTTCAGGGAGTTCTTCATTCTGATCTATTTTGAGACAGAGTCACAAAACTAAAACTCTCTTCTGAACTAATACGGTAGATAAGAGATTCATTCGCTTTCTACTAAATGAGGTTTGTTTATAATCTCTTTGTCTTGCAGAATAAAATACAAGGAGAGCTATTATATTCAACTTGAATAAACTTTTCTCCAAAGTGATCTACGAAAGAGAAAATGGCTACTCAATCTACTAAAACATTTGACATACCTAATACTTAGGAAAAAAACATCATATTAGTAAAGAGAATGGAATAACTACCCTAAACAAAGACACACCAAAAGCTCCTGTTGCCAACAAACCAAGTAAGTAGGATGGCCATATCTACTCTATTCAAAGCCTGTGTTTCTTCGCTGGAACAAGAGGCTGTATAAGCAGGAGGCACACATCTCTCTGTTACCGTAGGCACAAGCAGTACAGTTGTAAACCCGTAGAGGTGCAGGAGAACCAAGAATTCATGCAGTGTGAGAATAGTCATCACACAGGATAAAGCCATCCTCTAGACAGTTTTATTCCTGCTAAGATGCAGTGTTGCTTCTGATACCTGCCTTTAGTAACAGGCATTAAAGGTGGGCCTATTGCTCTTCTCTTTCGTGCTCCAAGGGACAGTCTCAGGCTCTGGCATGAGAAGATTCAGTTTTGCTATCACAGAACTGCTTCCATTATTCTCTCTACCCCACTGTGGAATGTTCGACAGAAAGAAATCAGTCCTCACCAACTTTCAGTTCTACTAAGAGCCACCTACTGGCCAACCTTGTATCTTTATTGCCAAAGTCTTAATTCTGCCGCTTCCATTACAGCCATTTTTGAAACTTGTTTTGAAGTAAGCGGGATTTAAAATAATTTTGTAATTAGAGTTAGACATTTTCACTTGGCGAGCACTCATGCCTCCCAAGTATCATTAATGGATTCTTTAGAGCTGCTAATCAATGCGTTCAGTAAAAAGAACAAGGACTGTGGAGCCAAAGATTCAAACCGTGGCTCCATCACTGACCTTGGGTATGTTTCCCACTATCTTTGCATTTCAGTTTTTCTCATCTGTAAAATGACAAATATTATACTACACAGTAAGCAGTTAATAAATTTTACACATCTCGGTCCTAGAAACAGCGATGCCTTTTAGCTCTAAATTATCAGTTTATAGATCTCATTAAGCTATAAGTCCTAGGACTAAGGAAAGAAATACATTGACAACTCACCCCTCACACTTACTGCGTGCTTACTGTGGCACTGTTCTCAGTGCTTTACATGTATCGTTAACTCATTTAGTTCTCACAGCCACTGTGTGGGGTAGGTTGCTCTTATGATCCCCATTTTAAAAATCAGTATACAGGGCCAGAGAGAATAGTTACTTTGCTCTTGGAACTGTGTCTAGTTCTCCATCTAAAATCACATGGTTAGTAAATAGCACAGCTGGGATTAAAACTGAGGCAAATACAAACCTGTCATTCCTATAACTATGTATTCTTTCTTTTACAAATAGGATTCTAAGCAATGTAGAGTTCACATATAAACTAAGCTGTAATATTTTGATATAACCACCTTTTATGGATGCTTTACCCCCAGATCCTGGTGAAAAGGAATCTCCAAGACTTTCTTTAAGGGATGATGATGATAAACTTGTCAGACATGGATCCTGTTTAAAAAAAAAAAAAAAGGATTTACTATGTAGGTTTTGTTCTTAAGATTTGTGGTAGGGCAACAGCATTATTAAGACAATTTTATAACTCTGAAATCATCATTATTAGGAGTATGCTGCTGAAACACCAAAAGCATTAAGCCTATGGAGGCTAACATGCTTTACATTCAAACCTTGGTGTCTTGAATAAAAGGGGTCACTAAAGAGCTATTCTAGTTCTTGAACTGGCATCTTGATATTTGTTTTCAGTGATTTTCAAAACTCTTGCTCTCAAATCAAATCTCATAAGTATTTGAGCCAAAGATTTGATATCTTTTTCTCTAATTCTTATTTCTAAGAAAGCATAAAGGAGAGAGTAGGCAAAAACCTTTGGTGTCAAATATTACTATTCGTCCAAATGAAAGCAATTTATAAAACCAAGTAGACAGCTACTACCAAATATTTAGATAGAAAAAGTACAGATTTCATGCACTTGAGTTTTCCTTAAAATTCTGAAAATTATATCTGAAATGAAATAATTATATTTGTGTGCCTGAACTAAACATCTCTTTAGAGAAGAGTAATCTAGCCTAAAGTTGATGGTATCATAATGTAAGAAGTTTGGCTTTGTTGTATCAACAATAAATTCTATTTTTCATTTCCACAATATTTTATAGTACAAAGACAATTATTTGTCAAAAGCAATAAATAGAAACCATCTCGGAAGATGGCAAAAGGGCTGAAACACAGGACTCTACCTTGAGAGACAAAGCTTTGCAGAGGAGACTGGCAAATTAGTAGCTTTCTGCCTAAGTGCATTCACCCATCTGTGCAGTTCAAGTGGTACAAAGTTACAGCCTTACAGGACTAGCTTAAGGGAGCAGAAGATAAGAGTTTAGGACGAGAAGATCAGCCAGTAAGTTTGAGGAAGAGCTGTAGTGGGCATGAACCCCCAAATTTGCATATTAAACTCACCCAAAACCCTTTGCTCATCTATGCATGGCATAGAAAAGACATCAGAAAAGATCCTGTGAAATCACAGCAATTAGAAACTGAAAGAACTAAGCACAGATTTCTGTTGATACCCATGGCAAGGGAGACAGAGTTGGGAATTTGAGTCCAGCCACAATATCTGTATACTAAAATACATATTCAGAGGAACATAACAGAATCGAGAATCTCTATAACATATCGTTCATAATATCCTGTATTCAATCAAAAAGTTACTAAATGGTGAAGAAATGGAAAATGGTGGTGCATACTCATAAAAAAAACAAACAAACCCCAAAACCCCAAAAACAGTCCTCAGGAGCCAACCTAGAGATGATCCAGATGTTGCAATTAGTAAACAAGGACTTTAAAGTAGGTATTATAAATATGTTCAAGCACTTAAAGGAAACGCATGCATGGAAGCTGACACAGATGGGATCTTAAAGATATGAAAAATACAAAAAAAAAAACAAACCCAATGGACATTATAGAGTTGGAAACTACAATACTGAAATAAGAAATTTGCTGGATAGACAACAGCAGATAGGGGATGGCAGAACAGGGCAGTGAACTTGATGACAGAGCAATACAAATTATTCAATCTGAAAAACAAAGGGAATAAAGACTGAAGAAACATGAACAGAATTTTAGAGATCAGGTGAGACATATCAAAGATTTCAGTCCTAAAAGGAGAGAAAAGAAAACTAGGGCAGGAAAAATATCTTAAAACTTCCTTTTCATAGAAATTATCAGTTTATATAGATCCTGAAAGCTCAATGAAATCCAAGCGGAATAAATATTTTTTAAAAACCCACTTAGGGTGCCTGAGTGGTTCAGTCGGCTTAAGAGAAGGGGCCAAGCGTTTCCCCCCCCATAACAATACATAGGAAACTCTCTGATGAAATCCTGAAGAGTCACATTTACTCCCATTCTGGCAGATCCCTCAAAATACAGGGCAGTGTCACGATCATCCAATATACCTTTGTTGAGTGAATAAAACCAAGTGAATAAAATGACACTGGCTATATTGTCCTTAGCCATAGATTATATAACTCAAAGATATGTGAATAAAACTATAAATTCTTATGATGAAAGATAGGCAGTATTGCCTCGATTCAAAAGGGAAACACATTTTTTTCACATTTTACTTTCTCTGAAATCGGATGATGCATTTTATAATACTGGTGTATTATAGATTAATTGGCAGAGTTTTCTTCTTTCTTAGCAGTACATAAAATAATGCTACATCTTTGCCATATCTTAGAGTAGGTGAAGTTTTAGACTCAATGGAATACTGTATATTAAAAAAAAACTCTTTAGGGACACCTGGGTGGCTCAGTCATTAAGCGTCTGCCTTCGGCTCAGGTCGTGATCCCAGGGTCCTGGGATGGAGCCCGGCATCAGGCTCCCTGCTCAGCGGGAAGCCTGCTTCTCCCTCCGCCTCTCCCCCTGTTTGTGCTCTCTCTCTCTCTCTGTCAAATAAATAAATAAAATCTTAAAAAAAAAAACAAAACCTCTTTAGATTATTTCCCTATCAATTGCTGAAGAAAACATGTACAACACACACATAAACACACATGCACACATGCACACACACATGCACACAAATATTCTCTTTTCCATAATCCGGCGCAAAGACCTCAGTTGAGCACAATTCAGCGGTTCAACAGTAGTGCTAACCTCAGGATCCAGGTTTCCGGAGAATGATTTTTTCTCAGCTTCTAGTTGACTGTCACTTAGCTTTGGAAGGGGGGGCGGTGCAGAGTGTGCCTCCAATTGTTCATGGAGGGCAGTTGTCTTATCTTCTCCTAGCCCATCTTTCACGTCCCCAGGGCTGTGTTTCTTCAACATGCCCCGGGGCCGAGGTGAAGGCTTAAAGGGGTTGTTTGCTTGGAGGCCACTGCTGCTTTCTGTTGAACAAACAAACCGTTTTAACGTGGGCGTATAAAACAATGCCCGTGACTTCCCTCCCGTGCTTGTGCACCGTGGCTCTCTGTCCCGGGCAGTCCTTCTCTACACAGGGCTCCCGTAAGCACAAATAAGCAATAGTCCCTAATCCAATTTTCTTTTTTAAAAGTAGCTGCCACCCTAGAAGGAACTAGTATACTTGTTCCTTGTGACACTTGTTACAAGTTAACTCTTCAATTGTATGAACTCTCATAGCATTCGAGAAAAAGTAAAAAACAGAAAACAGAACACAAACTGTGCCCCAGTTTCTGCCTCTATAACAGGAGGGGGGCTCACCCATTAACCTGCAGTGAGGGCTGCCAGGCCCCGTACACATTACTCACATTACCGGACTTCCTAATCAAGACAGTGACAATGGCCAAGGATTTTACAGGATGGGAGGGGAGGTGGTTTGAAACAAAAGAAAGTCCAAGAGAAAGGTAAGTTCTGTTACAAGTATGAGGATGATGTGAGTACTGGGGACAGAAGTGCTCGCTCTCCCCGGACAGAGGAATGAAGAACTCCATTTATGAGCTGCAGTTCTCTGAGTCCATAAAACTTCCCTGGAGTTATTAAAATTTCTCAGTTACTATTTCCATTACTTCCACGTTTAAAACAACAATCTAACAGTGGTATACTTCCAGCCCTCAAAACATAAGAAAGTTTTCCAACTAAACATTTTGCCTAAATTTGACCTGTTATGCATATTCATTTCTCCATTGCTTACCAGTGTTTTCTTCTCACAAAACTTCAAAACTGAAATAATCACCACCTTCCTCCTCTTTATCTACACATGGGCTTATGAATGCTACTAGAAGATTCCATCATCATACCGAGCTGGCACTGCTATAAATGCTTCATTGCCAATTTTAGCTGTGGTCTAAACTCTGGCCAAACGTTCAAGCCCTCCCGGATTCCTCCCTCTGTTCCCCCCATACCCAATGCGTCAGGATACCCTACTGATTCTTCTTGCTACATGTCTCATTTATCCCACTTTCTGCATCCCCACCGTCAGCTCCTCATCCGCTCTTTCCTAGATTCCTGCCTCAGAGGTATTTATAAAATGAAAATCAGATCACATCGCTCCTCTCCGCAAAATGCCTCAATGGCTCCCCAGCGTCCAACCCTACGGAATAAGAGCTTAAGTGCCTGTGAAGAAGCTACGAGGTCTTACGGTCTTCTCGCTGGCTGCTGGCGCTGCCTCGTCTATGAGCATGCCCACTTTGTAACCTGTGCTCTGGAAACGCCGGGCTCCCTGCTGTCTCGCGGCTCTGCCGCAATCCCGCCTGGTACCATACTTTTACCCAAGCCGATCCCTCCGCCTAGAATGTCTGCTTCCTGCCTCTTCTCCTGACAAATGCTTGCATGTCAGTTTGAGCCTCAGTGTAAGCAGAATATTGTATAATGCCTGAAAGAAGGTGTTGAGTCAGTTTTTGTTAATTGTGGTGAGAACGCTTAACCACAGACCTACCCTCTTAAATTTTAAGCGCACAATATTGTTAACTAAAGGATCGGTGTTGTACAGCAGATCTCTGCAATATAATCACCTTGCGTTAAGTGAAACTTGACACCTACTGAACAGCAGCTCCCCTTTTCCTCCCCTCACAGCCCCCGGAAACCACCATTCTACCTTCCGTCTGTATGAGTGTGCCTATTTCAGGTATTCCATATCTGAATCTTGGCTCTGACACTTACTAACATTGTAACCTTACCCAACCATATAACCCTCCACAAGCTCAGTTTTCCCATTGGTAAAATGAGTTAAGAATTCCTAAGGCACCTGTGGGACCTGAGTGAGAAAATAAAGTGCATAGCACAGTACCTGACTCATGGTAAGTGCTCAGTGAACATTAATAACTGTGGTAAACTTTTCTTTTCCTTGTGTTCTTTTGTTTTTTGCTTTTTGTGTGTGTGGTTTTTTTTTTTGGTTTATCACTCCTGTTTTCTTCAGGGTAGTTTCTCCTCTTCTCCATCCTTATAATTCTAGTGGGTGAACAAAGATTTCCTCCATATCTCAATGAGAAGGGAGGGCCCACAATGCATACCATCCCAGCTTATCACAGAAACTTCTCCCCTGTCCACAGCAGGCGGTCAGGTCTGTATTTTTCTATTTAGAGTTGGAGGATATGCCTTTAAGGTCATGAAGCTGGAAGGATATCATTTGGGGACTACTCCTGCCAAGTGAAGGGATGTCTGAGACAAAGAGACCAATATAGGTCCAAAATATAGGAGACCAAGAATATAGGACCAAGGGATGGAGTAACTGGGCCAGTGACAGAGGTGGGAGGAGACAGTGAGAAGGTCTGGGAATCAGGGAGGGAAGACAGAAGGAGAGAATCCAAATGACATGAAAGTACTGTTTCTAAACTTAATCACCCCTAAAGAGAGGTCTTCTCACATCCATGCTCAATAAGGTGATAAATTCCTCTTTCCACTGAAGTTTGAGTTGAGTCATTTACAACCAAGACTCCTGACTAGGGGTACCATTATTTGTCAGTTTCAACTATTATTGCCATTTCCTCCCGAAAGCCTTCCCTAATGCCCTCAGGTAAATTAAGTTGCCTACTTTTCTGTGTTCTTACTACACGTTTTATATACCTTCACGTTAAACTGCAAAGTCTTTGCTATGGTCTGAATGTTTGTGTATCCCCCAATTCTTAGGCTGAAATCCTAACCACAAAGGCGATGGTATCAGGCAGTAAGGAGGTGATCAGGTCATGAGGACCGAACCTTCATGAAGGGGATTATAAAAGAGCCTCCAGAGAGCTCCCTTGCCCCTTCACCATGTAAAGATACAATGTGAAGTCCGAGACCTGGAAGAGGGCTCTCACCTGACTATGCTGGCACTGTGATCTCAGACTTCTAGCTTCTAGAACTGTGAGAAATAGGTTTCTGTTGTTTAAAACCCATCCAGTCTATGGTACTTTGATAGAGTGGCCCAAATGGATTAAGACAGTCTTGGAGGATTGGTACTATTTTTTTTTTTTTTTTGGTATCATGTCTTTTTAATGTCATATTCGTAGTTATCATCACAGGGCTTGTAACATAGTGAAAGAGGCTGTATTCATAATAAACATGTATGGAAAAATAAAATGATCTGCTTATGAACAAATGCGAAATAATAGCATTTAGAAAAGTGCTTAATTTATGCCAGATTGTTCTAAACACTTCAAATATATAAACTCATTTAATTGCCTCAAACCACTAGTGCAGGTTCAACTATTATGCCTACCTTACAGAAAAAATGAGGAACAAAGAGGTTGTGTGCCCATGGTCATAAACTCTAGTTTGTGGGATTAAAGCAAGAGCATCCTTTCTCCAAAGTTCATGACTTTAGTCATTTTAATGTTAAAATAAAAGCAAAGTACCCTGTAAAAATTACTTTCTGCAATCACTCCCCATGTGACAGTTACTCAATAAAGTGAAAGAGTCTAGTTATTGCACTTTTAACAAAAGACAAGCAAGAACAAAGGAAACTTTCAGGTTCCAATATTTTTATAAAGCATTAATTGCTACCCTGCAATGTGTTACCACATTAAAAACATTAAGTTCCAAACTTTTAAGAAAAAGTCTAAAAATTTAGAAAAGGATAAAACTTAGCTTGTGAACCACACTCTTTCTTTCATCAATGAATCACTCACTTATTCATGTATACATTAAAATACTTACTGAACTGTATATGCCAGGCACTAACCACTAATCTCAATTTTTTTCTTCAATCTGAAGAGCCTAGGAATAATGACTTTAATATATTTTATACCAAAATTCCAGTCCCAGAAGTATTGTCAAGTTTTCAGAAAGAAAAAATACATCTATACATTTTCAAAATGCTTTCTTTTATAATTAAGTGTAAATGATTACCTGTTTTTGGTAATTATTTTTATATAACATATAGTAAATTACAAATGGCTAATGATTTTATTTTATTTTATTTTATTTATTTATTTTTTTTTTTTAAAGATTTTATTTATTGAGAGAGAGAATGAGAGATAGAAAGCACGAGAGGGAAGAGGGTCAGAGGGAGAAGCAGACTCCCCGCTGAGCAGGAAGCCCGATGTGGGACTCGATCCCGGGACTCCAGGATCATGACCTGAGCTGAAGGCAGTCGCTTAACCAACTGAGCCACCCAGGCGCCCCTGGCTAATGATTTTAAAAATAAGTATTGCACATTTGTGTATAGTATTTAGAATCCTGGTGCCATCTTGTGGTTTAAAGACGGCATTTCTCTATTCATTTTAATTCGTCACAGGTTTTTTTAAACAAAGGTATTAAATAGGTGGATTATTGATGATTATCTACCATAAAGTTCTAATTATATTCTTCTACCTATATCAGACCAACTTTTAGCTTCTGTATGCTTACATTTTCTTATTTACCTAATGAAAGCTTTTCAGAATCAAGACAAATAGGATAAATATAATCCACAAAAATAGATTTCTAAAGTCACTAGGACTAGGAAACACTGTCTGTTCTATCCTTCTTAAAAATTCCCTGTTAATATTTCTTTATTAATGTCTCCAAGAAGTTCTCTCACAAAGAAATTACTTTAAAATTTCTATAGTTCTGTGTTTTTCCAATAATACCAATGAACAAACTGTAGAAGGTACTTTGGGAAATGGTGAACTACTAGATTATTCACCAAATTCCATTATGTTCCCTTTCTCTCTATTTTTGATACTATTTAGGACACTGGGAAGGTACATTTCAGCAATTTAATTCTGTTTCATTATGCCTTGTGCTTATATTTTTGGTAGAATTGTATAGTTTCTGAGATATACTTCAACAGATTCTCACAACAATTCTGTAGAACAAGAAGAGCAGGTTTTATCCTCCTCATGAGGACAATAAGGCCTACCCTATTCACCAACGTCACGTATTAATTAACACATGGTGGCTTTTCTCCTAATAGTCCCTGCCCTGTTCATATTTGAAAGTTAGTGAGATTGTGGGGGAAGGAGTGGTTCCCTAATATATATCTGAAATAAAGTTCTGTCTGATGTTACCAGTGATATCCAATATGTGAAGTATGAATATTTACCAGTAGAGTATTTAATGATGACATAAAAGAAATTTTTATGAAGGTTAGTATCGACTAATATTTTTTCTACAAAACAGGAAAAAATGACTAGAAGACACCAAACCCTTAAACTTCTATGCCCCTGTTTCTGTGTGGTGGCTCAGGGGACCTCAGAGAGGCTGGTTCCTGCTTCACTCCATCTTTGCTCCACTGTGCCTACAGCTCAATAGAATTGTGGAGAAACTACTGTACTCCCAATCACATCAGGAACTTCCCTTCAGAAAACTGAGTTTTAGTGGATTTTCCCAGGGAACAGAGAAACTAAATGGAGATTCTCTTTTCTGAAGGAAAGTTGGAGGCTTAAATAACAACAGCAACAACAAAAGTCTCTCCCTTCACATACTCAAATGTCAAAAAAAATTTTCTGGCAAATGATGACATGGAAATGATTATTTGAAGGACTAGTTCCTTCCTGCTGTAGCTAATTTCTGGAGTGTAAGATGGATCAGAAAGGACTGCATTGCAGTCCCATCCCTAAAAACAAAACTGAAGCCCAAAGGCCTCACAAGCCTGGACCTAGAAGCTTCGGGAGCCATAGCTGTGGATGACAAGGTATTCTGGCCTTCTCTCAGGCACCAGCATAGATGCAAGACTGACATGTAACTGGACCTCAGAATTACGAGTTTTCTCTATGGGTCCATTATTTTGATTTATAACTCTAAAACTAAAAAGTTAAATCTATTTCTTAAATATTTACTAGCTACCATATAAAGATATTTTTTGATTATCTTAAAATAAGTTTTCAAGGGGCACCTGGGTGGCTCAGTGGGTTAAGCGTCTGCCTTCGGCTCCAGTCATGATCCCAGGGTCCTAGGATCGAATCCCACGTCGGGCTCCTTGCTCGGGGGGGGTCTGCTTCTCCTTCTGCCTCTGTCCGTCCCACCACTTGTGCTCTCTCTCTCATTCTCTCTCTCTCTCTCTCAAATAAATAACTAAAATCTTAAAAAAAATTTAAAAATAATAAATAAGTTTTCAAGAAATGCAATTATAGTAACGTGAATTACCTGAAGATGTGCTTTTGACTGGAAGAATTCTGGGTTTAGGTTTCATTTTAATTTTGTCTTTTTCCATTTCCTGGTCTTTATTTTGAGATTCAGATAAGGGAGTTCCAACCATGTCTCCACAACCATCAGGTGCCATTTCCTCATCATTTTTGGTGGAGAATACTGACTCATCTTTCATTATGTCACTGTTTGATTTCTTGGTTTTCAAAAAAGACAGTTTTGGAGAATTCTTTTCTTCATCATCTGATAAATGGAAATCATTCATTTTTTTCTTCTCTGAATTTTCATCTACTGAGGTGTCAGAAAAATCACCTAAGGAAACTGAAAAATGGAAGAGAAAAAATGTTTTCAATAGTCTCTTTTAAAGTTGTGAAGGCTACGGTAATCAAAAAGATTACCCTAAAGACTAGAAATGAATTTACAACCATGAATGGATGCAAGTATCTGCAGCTCTAAAACACAGCTAACTTAGGCAGTTTTTATTGGTATTTATGAAATAAAAATTTCAATTTCATTAATTTATTCAAAACTTACTTATTGAATGTGAATTGTGGGTCAAACCCTCCGCTTACCCTGAGCAGTCATTCAAATGTTCCTCAAAATAACAATGACATAGGATATTTAAATTAGGTTTTGGACTGTAGAGCTTTTATTTGCAAACGACTTCACTATATAAAATCAAAAACATTGGTAAGTAGAAGAATTTTACTAGTTATTAGCTAATTATATTATTTTCCATAAAAACTTCAGTACTACAATTTCATCCATACTAGAGTATTAGATTTTACTGTGAGAAGAATATTAAAGAATGCCAACTTAACTATATAGCAATGCTTCAACTACTGTTCTGATTATTTTCAGAGAACATTAAAAATCATTCACTGAATATTAACATACAAAGCACTGAATTTCAAGTTTAGAATTCTGTATGCTTACACCTGAAACCCAAAATGTTAATATTTTTACATAATCAAAAGAGACCAAACTAAGTCATACCAGCACTGATATACTAGGTTTTTAAAACTGAGCCCCTATTACAGCCAAAAAAATTTGATTTACAAAAAGCATTACAAAAGTGATTCTGACATGCACCAAAGTTTAGTTCTCTGGGCTCTAGTTTTTAATTCGCTACAGAGTCTCACAGGGTTGACACTGGTGTGTCCAACATGGTTTACAACAGACAGGCAGCCTTTTATTTCAAACCTGCTATCGGTTAATTTATATTTTCAGTATACACCGTTCAGAAACAAAGACAATCATACAACTTCTTGAAGATTACAAGTGGCTTCTTACTCATTAAAAAGTTGGAAGTTTAAAACCAGTGTGTATACAGCTATTATTTTAACGTGATTGTTTTTGCAGGGATGAGCTAAACATAACTAAGGAAGCAAAAAGAGGTTTACTTTTCCATATTCACACATACCAATCTCATCACTGTCAAAGTCATCTGAGTATTCGGAACTCCTTTGCCTGGCTGAGCGAGCTGTAATTGCTTTTATTAGCTCATCCTGAAACGAGATAATTAAAATCAATTTCCACCCAAACATAGAGGTCTCATATTTAGAATTAATTCTTTACACAAACAATGCTTGATTAATAACTGCTTTCAAACTCAGGTTTCATTCATATAACAACTATTCAATGAAAGCCCACCTTATGCCATGCACCCAAGCCCTCAGACTCAGTGTGTAACATCACAGACAAGATCCTCCTCCTTATGGAGCTTACAGTTCAATTGGAAGAGAGAAGCAATATCAAATAAATTAATTACAGGGTGTAATTAGGGCGGGAGAATAATAAACAAGACAGGACTCAATTTAGACAGGATTTATTACAAACTGGCATTTTGGAAGAAACTGGTACTTTTTAAGATCTTTTGTTTTAGCATATTGCAGTAATAAATATAACTAATACTACAAACTTAGAGGCTGAGTTCAAAATGGTGGTGACTGGATAGAGAAAACTGAAATGTTATTATAACAGAAAAAAAATTATATGCAAATTTGAAGTTGCTATATAACTTAACTTTTAAAGGTTGAGTTAAACTTAACTTAGTAAGAACTTATTAGTGAAGCTAGTTAAGAAGCCTGAAAGCCACACAGGAGAGTTGGTAATACTGAAGCCTAAACACGATCAACTGCAAAACCTCCACAGGAATGTAAGATATACTCCTGCATTATACAGGGCCCTTTCTAGAATCATTTCAAGTCCAACATTGCTAATACAGTGTTTACCTTTAAAATCATTCAAAATAAAAAAATGTTTTGAAATACTTTACCTGGAAAGTAGTCCTTTTAGTGACTTTTGGACTCTTTGTATAAGCCAAAGTTGTGCTAAAAACTTCATCAGACATTGTGGTTTTTTTTTTGTTTTTTACTCTTTACCTTTATAAAACAGCTAATAAATAATAGGAATAATTCAAACTCTGATGGTGTCTGAAATATACAAAAAACAAATCAGACTTTTTTGCAAACTTGAGAATTTCTATTACTACCCTTTAGTGCTAAAAAAAAAAAAGAGCGAACAACTAAGAAAAGCATCTTATGAACATTGCACTACATATTCACTTAAATATGTAGAGTTCTTCTAAAGAAATATAAAATTTTCACGAGTTTATTATCAAAAAAAGAAAAGTCAAATTTAAGTTATCCTAAAATAGTTTTGCAATTATTTTAAGTATGAGCAAATAAACGACTGCAACAGCTTAGTATGCTAAAATGTTGCCAATTAAAATACACCTTATTCTTCCCTTCTCTTCCATTCAAGAAATATAACATTGACCATGAAACAGCCATACCTTATTTTAAAAAAGACCACTAAGGAGATCGGCAGCATAAAAGATACAACTAGAAGGACAACCAAAACAAACAAACAAAAGCTTGCGTACAGCTCTAGTGAAAGACAAAGATCAATAATGCTAAACGGCAATAGCGATGTTTCTTGTTTTTTGTTTTTTTCGAGTCGCTCTTCCCTCTCACAACAGTGCTCATGGGGCTAGATAAAACAAAACGAAGCTTCCATGATAGGCAGCGTTAAAATCAAAGCACGAATGGGCCCGCGAACTTTTCTCGTGCTCGGAGGGGAGGCCTGGGCCTCGGCCACCTCGCCGTCCGCCGCAGCGCGCGCCCGGGGACGGCTCCCCTCCCCGGCCGGGTGGCGCTCGGGTCCCAGCCGGCTCCGCACAGCACCGCGCCGTCTGCCCGCCCAGCTCCCAGCACTCGCCAGGCCCGTGCAAACAGAGCGCTGTCCAAGTCCCGTTCCTCCGAGACCCCCCAAGACCCGTGTTCTGTACCCACCCCAGCCGATCCTGCGATGGGCTCCCGCTACCTTAAGGACTGAGCCCCCGGCCTCGGGCAGGGGCCTCTCGCCCAGACCTGGGCCTGCCGGCTCTTCGAGACTGGCATTGGGCTGAGCAAAGGGGAGGGACTAAAAGCGGAGATGGGAGAAGGTTGCTAGGAAACCGCTTCTCCGGAAGGAAGTGACTTCCCTACCGCCGGGTCTCTCGGGTACCCAACACCGCTCTTCCGCCTGACGCGTCCCTGAGGCAATCGCCCAGACGAAGGAAATGACATCACCCCTTTGGGTCCCGGGAAAGGGGAGCATTGTCGTCTACGGTGCTACAGCTGTTGCCTAGGAGACAGGACCCCCCCGGCTCCCTCCCGGAACCAAGAGCCTTGAGCTTTCTAGTGGAGCTCCACCTGCTGCTTGAGCCAAAGCACGTTTACCGTTTTGCCAGAGTTAGGCTATGAAGTTCTACGAATCGGAATAGAGTACTGACAGAATAGCGTACTGACAGATGGGACAGAATAGCTAGCTACGTAGTGACATTTGCAGGCTAGGGAAAGGAACTGCTCCATTGAATTCTGGCACTTCCCTATACCCGTGTGATGTCAGGCAAATGATGCTCCAGTTTCCTCTTCCGGAAAAAAAAAAGTAGCCACCTTAGAGGGTTGCTGTGACTACTGAATGAAATAATGCAGGCGGGATACCTGCAAGAGTGCCTGGGATTACATTCAGTCAATAGTAGATACACTTTTTATACAACTCAGTCACAAAGGACCTGGACAGAAGTCATCCCTTGTCGGCACAGCTGAAAACCCCATTCCAAGTGTTTCTTTAATGTAAAGTTTCCCCCTTTGTATTAGAAGTGGATAATCTGGTTAAAAGCAAACTACTCAATAAACAAAATGGTCTCAGACCAGAGGACCACATGCTGCTGAAGTAACCCAAATCAACATCACTTAATTAGCATAGGGAATCCTTAAATAAACAAAAGACAAAAACACTTCTTTAAAGACTTCAAAATAACATGGATTTATACTATTTTTAACTTAAAAGATATTTAATCCTAGCTAAATTGTCCAAATGAATGCATTGACTAGTAATTAAAGTTGTTCCTGGTATTTTTACCCATATCTCTAAAATTTATTAATTCTTCACTCATTCAACAATTATTTATAAACAAATCCCATTGATATATATAGATTTAATAAATTAACATATTGAAAACTAAATGTGCATAACAAGAAATATGAAATTTAGTTAAAAATTATGATTTTAGCAACATTTACAACATTTACAATTCAATTTTTTCAAAACAACCCAAACAACCAAACACTTACAACAACATTTGCAACATTTTACAACATTTTACTTTTAGCAACATTTACAACATTTACAATTCAATTTTTAAAAATTGTATTCGATTCATATTCAACTTTTTTGGAAACTCAGTTTGATCAACATTTGCCTAATTTTGATGTTTTCAAACATTTTTGACTGAGTCATTGCATAAGACAAATATTTCCCATTTCTACCAGCTACTGTTAACTTTCCAATTCCTGTAAGTTTTTAATAAACAAATATAATTCCATCATGGTGACTGTACCCACAGTGAGAGGACAGAATCCCCAGCATCCTATTATGCGGAGTCCTAATTTTTTCATGTTGAATATTTATATTCATTCAAAAAAACTCTGTTCATTTTTTTATCCACCTGGCTAATATGTAGTTTTCATTTAGGTATGATTTAAGAAAATAAAATTCACAAAAAATATTAATGAAAAAGGCTTTAAGATCCTATCTTTTCCATAGAACCCACTAGATTTTTATTTTCAACTTGGTACAAAATAATTAATAAACAATATCAAGTTATGCCTTACAAAGCTACAGTAAACAAAGGAAGTTAACCTGAACTCAACTTTATTTCTACACAAAACCTAAAGCACAGTATTTTTCTACTGTTACCTTAAACAGTAGAATATTATGCACATTATCAATATTTTTAGGTAGCTTCAGTATAATATGTTAATAATAACATTATATAATACCTGAATTAATACTATGATTTTATCTAACACATAGTTTGCAATAAATGCATAATTGTTGCATGAACTCATGAATAAACAAATAGCATTTTAAACTGAAAAATAATTTTTGAAACATTCCAAAAGGCCACATATACTCAATTAAAAAAATAAAAACACTACAACACACAAAATTTCAGTAGCTTATGTAACATTTTCTCTTTATTTTATTTTTTTTCAAATATATCCTTGATCTCAGACATATTTGCTTAGCAAATATTTTTTGAATTTCTGCCCTTTTCATTTCTCAACTTTGTCTTCACTCATTCATTCATTCGTTCAGTACACCCATATCAATAACATTCTAGGTCAGATTTGGGAAGTTCAAATGCAAACCAGAGTAGGTCTCTGCCCAGGGATCTTATAGACCAGAGACAGCTGGAAGGTTGGGTAAGCACATGGTGATTATACTTTGTGCTAATTTTTCTGTGAAGTACAAAGAGAGGTCTCAAGAGAGAGCAAAGAATTTTTCCTGGAGGCACTACAAAGTTTTCACAGAGAAACTCAGTTTGAGTTGATTAATGAGTTTAGGATATAGGAGGGATCAGGAGTATATTTTAAGCAGAGGAAATCGTCTATGAATATGTAGTCTATCTCATTGAAGATTTAAGCATTTGAACAAAGTGATAGTGTGCTTTTTGGTTCACAAGGGGAGGGAGAAGATCTATTTCCAATCAAGAAGCAACTGAGGAGTGACTCTTCTTCAAAAGTTCCCTGCCCTCCCCTCAGCAGGCAAATTATTTATTGTCCTGTGATTGGCAGCGCAAGTTCGAGAGAGACAAAGGATCTTGTACTCACAGCCAGCCCTGGGTGAATAAATAAACCATCTGTCTAGCATTTTGAGAAGTGCACTACAAAAAGCAAATCCTCATAGATGTCAACTGATAAAGATTATATATACATTAAACACTGAATGCTCATGTCAGAAGAGAATGAGAGTAAGAACCCAAGATGCAAGTGTGTTTCTCAATACTGGTGCCAACTTGCGGGGTGAGAACTTCTGGAAGGGAAGTGTCAGAATCTTGAGGAAGCCAGCGATAACCAACTACACTGATTAAAAGTGTTCATCAGCTTCTGATGAGTGAAGGAAACCCGCCATTGTTAGTCTATTATACCAGCATGTCTAATGTAACATCTTGAGACTCAGGTAGGTTTGAAAAAACATTATTCAACTTGATAACCAGGTAGTTATTTTCATCTATGAAATGTCAGACAAGACTCATTTGTTATATTGACTTTATGATGTTCCTGAAGTTTTAAGAAATCTTCAACTTTAATAATGTTTTCATATACACAGTGACATTATTCTTATTTAGCAAGCTGAGCTAGTGTGTTCTTTCTTTCCTGATCGATTAACCCACACTGTGTAAAATAGTTTTACATGTCATTTCTTCCAAGTGTAACTCCCTTTTTCACTTACCTTTTTGGAATTGCTCAGCCCCTTCCTGCTTTGTGCACCTTCCCCTTAAGACGAGTCCAGTCTGGGGATAGAAAAGACAAACTATTACTGTTTTTGCACAAAAATTTTATGAGTTTTTGTGGAATTAAAACGCAGCATTGAGGGAAGTCCAGGCATTGCTCAGTTGGAGTTTCTTTGTAAAGGAAAACCCCTTTGAGGATTCTCAAGAAAGAGAGGCCAGAATCCAGCTGTAGGTAATGTGAATAAAACAAATTCTTCAACACTATGGAGAAAATCTAATTTTGCTTTAGGGTCGCTCTCCTGTGAGAATGTAATTTTTCCTTGTTTTTCTAATTTGGGAAGGCTTTCCCAGAAGGTGAAAGAAATCCACGGCTGCATTAGTAACCTACTTCCAAAAGATGGCAGCAAAGGTTTAGATAACAGGAACATAATCATTAATATTTTGGGGATATTTTATTATGCTTAGAGTGATTAAAAATTACATTAAAAATGAACTACTTTTAAAATAATTTCACAAAGCTTTTTGAATGATCAACTTTTTCCTTATATTAGAATGTTAGGAATTTAGTTTAATGTGACAAAAATATTTTTTAATAAATACTTTTAGAAGACTTGCATCCCTGCTCATACCCCAAGCTATTCT